ATTTAATAGAGATGAAAAGAGGAGGAGATGTTTGTAGGCCAAATCAGGAGAGCAGGCTATGGCGTCAACAGTGTTCCACTAAAGATACAATGCAGTGAGTAAGGGTTGTCACCCTAGAACAGGAAGTGTGTTACTAGCAGGATCACAATATAAAAATAAAGAAAAAAGGTCTGAAAACACAAATAAATGCAGCCACCACATCTAAAAACTGGTAAGCTCCAATGTATTAAATTTTTATTTTTGGGTTTAGATTTATTATAAATGTTGTAAAATGCAATACTGCACCATTACACCACACCAATATGTCCTAAAAGGGCAGATGTAAATATATATGGGGTCAGAAATGTAGTCATTTTATTATCTGCACATCCAATAATTCAGTACAATATATTCAGTACATCAGTACATTACATGCACATTTTTCCATATCTTATCTTTAACAGTGCTACAAACACAACAAATATCTGTTGATGTTGCCAGTGAGCTCTACTGCTGAACTGAAATCAAAGATAGTGGTAACAGCCCTGCCCAGTGCAGGACTGCACTAATAATTTGTACCACAGAACATCTCCTTATGTTATGGGGGTGTTCTGTAGTCCAGCACAAGAAAACTGGTTAGGGCTGACAGGCACTGTGTTGTCAGCTCAAACAGAAAGTTAGGAGGACTCTAGATTTGGGGGTATTTTATGAGTACTTAGAGTGTTTTAAAATATGGGGAAATGTGTATGCACTGCAGAGCTCTATTGCCATTGTTTATTTTGCTTGTATGTACAAGTTATCTGGCTTGATAGTAGTCATACTACTATACTTGTTTACTACAATATTTATGGGGGTAACTAAATCATACACCCTATGATTTCTGTAGCAAAAACCTAATAACTAGATTTCATTTTAACTTGAACTGTGAAACATTGAACACTTTAATTTTCCTTTTCACTGGTATTTATTGAGTTTCACCAAATGACAAAAATGTATAGCGAAAACAATGTAAAAAGAGACATAAAGAAATATAGTGAGGATCGCTAGACAGATTTAACACTGCACAAGTAGTGCACTACATACAGTATATACATCAAGGAGAATATGCACTCAGCATTATTAAACATTGCCAAAAAAAGACAAAACAGATTAGACAACGAACGATGGATAAGTACATCTATGCTAAACAATGTGGATGGTTGAATCTCCCAGCTATTATACTGTGACAGCTCAGGCCCCACAGTTATCATCGTCCGTGTTCAGTGAATGCAACTAAGTTGCTGCACTAACTGTTCAGACAACAATTTTTGGCCCTGCTCCCTCAACAAAAGTTTTTCTTAAAATCATCTTTTGTTGAATGGAGGGATGCTAGCAGAGCCACGCACTGGTTGAATTTTGGCCGGGTCATCAGGACTTTGAGCAGTATGAGGCCAGATTTACACAAAAAGAATAATGTATTATTTCAGAAAGATAATAGAGAGGGTAGCGGAGATAATGGTGGGAGTTTGTGACTGTATTAAAGTTAATTGTTGGTAGTATGGATGGGAGTGGTGCCAATGTGTCAAACCTGGAGCCATTGTGTGGTCTTGTCTTTATAGATAACCAAACTGAAAATTGACAGTAACCCTTTCGCCAAAGGATTCCGGGACTCCTCCAGGCTCACTGATATTGAGAGGTAATTGGAACTGCATGTTTACTTATATGATAAGATAAAGAAATGTAAAGTAGTCTATGTCTTTTTCTTTTCATTGTTTAAAAGTAAAAGGGTCGAATTGATGCACATTGTCACTCCTTATCATCTCCACTTTGATTCAATAATTAATAATTACAGGATGTTTAAAAATAATGAAATTATATTAAATTTTACAGTTTTTAGAGTTTAGATTAGCCAATGTATATTTTTTCTCTTTTGTTTTTGCTTTGTTAAAAAGGTTTCTCCCTTCCTGAAGATAATAGCCCATTTCAACAAGTTTGGGGGTGATATCCCCATAACAGGACCAAAACTGTGCAGACTTTTACATTGCTAATAGTTACCTGCAAGCTTGTCAGCAGTGGGCTGGTGTTTCAGAAACGAGGTCCAAACAAATTGGGGTGTCCCTGAAAATGTTGTAGGAGTCAAAGGGGATGAATGGCAGATAGCTAAAGTGTATGTAAACCTGACAATGAGCTTCTCTTCAGTGATCCCTTTAAATATACAATTAAAAGCATTTTGTTTATATGTTCAATAAGTACAAAAAATACCTGTTGACCAAAAATTCAGAGCTGTCCTGTGTCTTATTCACTCTTGCTGCGTTATCTCCAAGACTCTTCCAAGTTCTGATCTTGGACCACAGAACTAATAATCTCTATGTTGTGCAGATGAGGAGGGGCAAGGGATTCAGTAGCTGATACAATTCCTTGCAATTTCAGTCTAGGAAAAGGCATGTGGTGTCAATCCACAGAAGAAAATTAGGAGCTGAATGCATTCCTGGCAGATCAACAGGTACTTTCTTGTACTTGCAGTTTCTTAAAGAGGAAGTACCATGTTTTACAAAAAAAGAGGGCCCTGGAGCTTTTAGCCATAATGTTCGAGTATGCACAGCATGAGCACATTATGGCAGACTTACCTGCCAAGCCGATCCTCTCCAGAGCTGTGCTCTTCCCTCACTGACACTTTTATCTCCCTTTGGGTCATCTTCCAAGTATTGAGTATTTGGCCCTGCGATTGGCCGGGGCCCAAATGATGTAACTGCCGTCACTTACCTGTTCGTCTTGGCATGACAACTCTGTCCACTGAGCTGCGCATGTGCAACTTAGTCTATAGAAAAAAAAAATTGCTGAATGACAACAAGAAACTTTTATGGCAGAAGAGACATTACACAGTCTCTACGGTCATAAGAAGCCTGCAGTTTTTTTTTTTCTTAATGCCTTTACTTCCACTTAAAAATGATCTATTCTGGATGAACCAATGTATGACCATTTCTAGACCCCAAGCAGAGGACTAGGAATATAAAAATGGTCATTTCAGTTACATCAAACCTCAGAAAAATAGGGAAATATTGTTCCTATACAACAAATTTGCTGGAATCTAAAAGCATTATTATGTGGGCAGTAATTGTGTACCACAGATATTCCAAGTACCAAAGAAAAATTAATCATTTGTCATATTAACATTAAAGGTCAGGATTGTTCATTCTATTAAAAAAGGTCAGTAACTAAAACATTCAGATAACTGAGATTCGAAAAAGGTCATGACAAGTATCTTTCAAACTATGCACATATGCTATACTATGTTGGATCAGAACATAGTACAGTTCCTTTAATGCATCAAGTTCAACTAATACATACATACATATACATTATGTACAGCGACAAATGCCTTCTAAAGCTGGCCATACACCAGTAACATTCGGCAAAAATTTGTTTTCAGAATGTTCATTCAATTTCTGATAGTTAATGGAGTCAAATCAACAATCTTTTTCAACCACAGTGATGAAGAAAAGTGAAGGAGCAGCATGGAAAATGTTCTTCTCGAACAAACAAAATTCTAACATTGAGTGTGGTTTTCATTCAAGAAATTCCATTATCGGCTTATTTTTAACAGGATTCTACAAGGAGCTGATGGCATTATCAAATGTTCTGAGGAGAGTGTTCCTATGAACATTCGTACAAAAATCTACCAGTGTATGGCCAGCTTTACACTGCCTGGGTCCAGTTCCTACTTGGAATAATATGTACTATAGAAAAGTGGATGCTTTACTAGAAGAGTATTGACTGTTCAATATGCAAAGTGAAGGCTCACTGAGCTTAGTAAATAAGGTGAAACCATATTCTCTTTCATAAAAATGCAATTACGTGCCAGGTAATAAAAATCATTCAACATAAACACTGCATTATCTTGTTAAGTTCTATGAACCTATACTTTCCAAATTGAATAGTCTCTGCACCTGAAGTAAATTAACCCCAGCGGAATGACGCATGCGTATTTCTGGAGTGCCCTTTATAAATGGCAATTCAGAAAACATACATGGGTGTACCTGTGCATGGCTTTGATCTGAGCTGTCATCAGATGCTTCAAGGGATAGGCACAATGTACAGACCTGATCGGAATGGCTATGTACCTTGTGATTACTGTGGTGACCAATCATGAATAAATGAAGGGTTTGTAGGCAGCAGCAGATTTATGCTGAGCGGCTGTAAGTGATTTTTAACACTTTTACCCCCCTCATCTTCTCTACATCTCATCTCCATCCTTCCTCTCTATGTGACCTGTACAGTAACACCTTTTCCTCCCTTATCCTCCACATTAAACCCTTCATCTCCATCCTCACACTGTATGTGACCTGTACAATAACTCTTTCACCTCCTCCTACCTCAGTGTATGACCTACACATAAATGATGCAAGGTATCTAGTCCACCATAACTGGCATGTTTCTTCATTAAAAAAAAAAAAAAAAGTGGCAGAAAATTAGATCCCCTTGGTGTTTACTTTCCAAAAAGGGGCCATGTTTCATAATAGAAAGTAAGGAAACAAAGAAAGTTGGTCTTTTTTTTCCTTTATATAGTAAAAAATAAAAACTAAGCAACTCAAAAGTAGTAATCATTACTCCTAGACTACATCAGTGGGAATATATTTATATATATCATCCCACTAAGGATGATAGTAGCAAGTTCTAGGAAATCACTGACCATGGATTTTTAAACAGAAAACCAGTGTGGATGCTTCCAAACAAATCAAAGTCTTAAATGTTATCTTATTCTGGCCTGGCCTGTAATCATGTGTTTTTGATCATGGTATGCCCCATTTATGCACTGAAATGGGGGAACAAAAAGCAATGAGCCAAATATTGTTCAATCCATCTGAATCTGATCTGGTTTTTTTCACCATTTGTAGTGTGGTGGGAAAGGCTGCTGAGATCTGGTATGCCTCATAGACTGCCCAACCGTTGCCTAATTTTGCCAACATCCCTGACAATAGTCAGTTAACCATATCATGGTTTAAATGATTTGTTTACCTAATTTGTTTTTTGGAAGACACTTAGTCGAACAAAGTGAATATATAATTAGCATTAGCATTTAAGACCGCCAAATTTGTTCAAATCTGCTAGATTATTATCCTTGTTCATCCAATGTAGGTTGAGGTTTTGGATGTGACAAGATAGAAATATGCTTTCCATTTTTCTTGTTAACATTTTAACTTTAGAACAGAATGATGGAGATGGTACATGACAGTTAGGCAAATCCATATTTCACTCTCAGAAACCTGCTTTATGTGGTTTAATGTTTTTGTTGGCTCTAGTAAAAAAGAAAACCAAGGCACCTGATGGATCAGTTCAATTACTGAACCAAACAACATGTGATGCTGGCAAAAGTCAGTCCATTTCACAGCAAGTAGCTGACTAAATTAACAAGCTGATATACTCTAAGAAGAGCAGTCTCACCTTAAAGCGAACCTTGAAGCTACTATGAGTTTATAAAAGCATTGTCTAATGTGCCCCTCTAAACCAGTACAACAGAACAGATGTCCAGTCGTCACCCTTTAGGGAAATCAAGAGTGATACTCAATTTGAGACTTTTGTTTGCCAAAATTTGCTTATGTTAATTAGTGTTAGTGAACAATTTAGGACAACATAGCTGAACTAGAAAGTGAGCTGAATTTGCAGAATGTTTCCAAATCAGCTATTTTGGCCTAAATTGTTCACTTCCCCTGCCTTCTCCAAACTCTTAACCCTTTAGTGAATAGACCTGTAAGTATAGTACATTTGGTGTACATACAAGTGAACATACTTAACCTCAGAGACCTGCATTGTGAGAAGCACTAGTAAAGCACACCCATTCCCAGAAGAGCCAGTGTATGTGATAAGTATTGATCAGGCTGGGCATGATGTGAACCCAGTTTGTCTGAGTTCAACCAAGTTACCTCAAAACTGTGATTGTGTCAATCACAGTTTTGAGGTAACTTGGTTGACACAATCACAGTTTTGAGGTAACTTGGTTGAACTCAGACAAACTGGGTTCACATCATGCCCAGCCTGATCAATACTTATCACATACACTGGCTCTTCTGGGAATGGGTGTGCTTTACTAGTGCTTCTCACAATGCAGGTCTCTGAGGTTAAGTATGTTCACTTGTATGTACACCAAATGTACTATACTTACAGGTCTATTCACTAAAGGGTTAAGAGTTTGGAGAAGGCAGGGGAAGTGAA